TTAGCCACCACTTGGGTGTGGATCTGCTTCATTACAGATAAAATGAGGGTAATGACGCCAGTTCTTCAAGCCTTACAAAGTGTGAAGGAGCTAATGAGGTCATGCATGTGAATGTATTTTGAAAAGTAAAATAAATACGTAATTATAAGCCTGTGTTGCTGGTGTTCGTGATTCTAGCTGATACCGGTGTTGGTGGTAGTAGGGAGGTTAATGTGGCTGCTGGTGGTGGTGCTGATGGTGGTGGGGAAGTTGATGTAGATGGTGATGGTGGTGCTGATGGTTGATATTGATGGTGATGGAATTATATTATGAAGTTTAATCAGCAGAAGCTAGTCAGTGGGACCCAGCGGGCATCCAGGCTGTGCTCCCGCCGGGTTGGATGTGTCCGGACAAGGGTCGGTGAGGCTTTGTGCACGAGGACAGAGGACAGCTCTGCTCCGGGAGAGGCGCAGGGGAGCAGGTCTGGCCCCCTTGCAGGCCGAGTTCCTGAAGTCCACGCGGGACTCCTGAGGCTGCTTCCATCCCAGGCAGCCAGGCGTGGCTTCCTCCCTGGGGAGAACCCGAGTGCCTTGGCAGACGGGCCCACACCTGAACCACCCGCGGTGCTGAGGGAAGGGGGGGGGGAAGCAGGTGGGCAAGCGGTGCCCATGACGGTGCCATAGGAAGAAAGCAAATACGAATGAACACGACCAAGTGCTGGGACGCTGGCCAGCGGAGCTGATGCCCTCACACGCTCCGTGGGGTGGCAACATTAGGGAACTGAGGCCCAGGGCGGCGAAGAGATTGGCACATGGTCACACAGCCGACGGGAAGTTCAAAGCTTGGTCCCTCAGATCCCAAAGTTCCTGTGACCTTCCCACGAATACACTTCGATTTCCTGCAAGGTGAGGAGGGGGAGGGCGACCGCTCGGGCTCCGTGGGTCTCTCCTTGACATTCCGCGTCCCAGCAGGAGCCCAGTGCCCGGGCAGGGGGCCAGAGGATCGGAGCTGTGCACACAATGGCCAGAGCGGAGGGTGGCCCCTGGCCCTGCCATGGCTCTGGTCTCGGGAGTGGGGTCAGGAGCCCGACAATGCCCGAGCCCGGTGTGATGGCTGAAAGAAACAACTGGGATGCCTCCCACGCAACCGGGTCTGCGGAGCGAGACCCAACCGGCACACGCACACGCCTATTCGCATGTGTGGCCACTGCTTCCGTTTTATTGGGGGGGGGTACCCCTGGTTCACAAATATCCTGTTTTTTGATGACTGGTCTGTGCCGGGCAAGGACCGCCCAGCAGAACCGCAGCCAGACCCGCTGTTAGGGTGTCTGCCACTGCATCTTGGGATGAGGGAAGCATGTCAGTGTCGCTGCAGGACACGAGCCACCGGGCAGCGAACAGAACGAAGAGCAGAATGTGCCCGAGGAAAGCAGTCCGCGAGGAGGGCCTGCCTGGGAAGGGGCACGTGCCCTCTGGGGCTGCAGGGCTCTGGCTGGGTCAGGGAAGGAGCTGAGGTGTTGCCTTAAGTCACGTGGAGACAGGGCCACACTGCCTCCTGGCGGTCCTTCCTCACCCTCGACTATGAGGTGGGAGGGGACTGGAGGGGGCTGGTTCGCATCCAAGGAGCAGGACAGGAAGAGGAAGGGCTCTCGAGGTTCTGGGAGGTCTGGCCTCCGGTGCAATGGTTTGCTGGCCAGGCCTCTGCATCATCTCTGCAGGGGCGGCTGCTGGCCGGGCACCGAGTCCCCTATCAGTTCCTCTCAGGCCCCAGGATTCCAGCCGCCACCTCCAGGGCCTGGCAGGTGCCCTTCTCCCTGTGCTCACAGCAGGGAAGACCTGGGGGACACGGGGAGGAGGCACCATATACAGACCACGGAGAGGCGGCGGGCGAACCCCAACGCGCCAGCACCTGACCTGGGACGCCCCCCAGGACGGTGGGACAGTGACCCTGTCTAAGCCAAGCAGCCGGTGACACTGTGTCACGGCAGCCCTGGCAGACGAACACCTGCCCACCGTGCCGGCCTCAGGCAGAAGCCACACATCTCCCATGGGGGACGTCTCATGTCAGCCAGAGGGAACTGTTCTGAACGTGCCCCGCGATGTTCTCACATCCCAGTGTGTCCGTGGGCGGGCCCAGCAGGAAGGCCCTTGTGAGGTCATCGCCCTGGCGTGTCCGTGGGCAGGCCCAGCAGGAAGGCCCTTGTGAGGTCATCGCCCTGCTCCGGGCAGAACTCACAGATGGAGACGGGGGCGCGCCATGCCCCGCTGTGCACACCCTCTCTTTAGAAACATTGTCATCAGGAGTCCGTCTGACAGCATCAAGAGGAAGCAATGCCTCCAGTACCTGAAGACGCTGAGGGCGCTGCAGTTTGACGGGTTCACGACGGTGTACCTGGGGGAAACAGAGATCCCCGAAAGCCTGGCCACGGGGGAGGACTTCAGGGGCGAGCTCTGCGTGCCGAGTCCGAGCTGGTGCGTGTTGCATGCGGGGGGCAGCCAGGGCTGGGTGCCGTGGCGGTACCGGGTGTTCCTGAGAGACGAGCTGAGCGTCCGCCCGGAGGACGGCTTCTTCGCCGAGTTCTGCGAGGTGGTGAGGAAGACCTACGGGAAGTGCGCCATCGTGGTCAAGGACGCCCGGCGGCCGGGGGCCAGGTCCGAGGACGGGGAGCCCCAGGCTCAGGCCCGCGCCCGGG